CAACTTCATGTTGAAATCCTAAATGAGATTTAAAGTTTATAACTGGCGATTTAGCAATATTAAGGATTTTTTATTACAAATATTTTTATTATATAAATATTGTATTCACTAACATTTATTTTGTAATTACATTTTTATGTATACCATAGGGTCAATAATATTTTTTGCTTACTGATTTGACTACACTATGTACTTGACAGTTTCCAGTACTTTATTCTCCAGCATAAATATCAGATTATTTATAAGCAGATTGTCATGTGAATTTCATCAATTAATGGGATACTGTATGATGACGCTATCTTCAGGGCCTAATTGTGATTCAGAGTACCATATTTACTATGTCCTGGACCGTTACTAACTTGTGTAATTACTCTACAACAACATGTAAATTCATAAACACCTCAAATAACATTCTTAGCTCGCTAATTTTGTGTATGTTTTAGACTTACATATACAAATGTAGTTCTTGCTTAATTTTTGCTGTTTTTGTTGTAACTACCTTATACTAAAATATGTTTGGATATTTAGAGTACCGGTAATAACAAATTCTCACTTCCGGTCTGGTTAGATTAAAATATACCACGAACATTTACCCCGGTACTTTTAAGATATAATTTTTGCTATGCGCTGGTTCTTCAGCTTCATTGTTCTGTACTTCATTTAGTAATTCAGACTTTCCAGATTGTGTAAAAACGGATAGTTTTGTGATTTTGACACGGAAAATGCCTGGGCTAAATCATTTGCTGAGGGGCGGCCACATAGGTATGTGCACTTGTAGCACATGAACCAAAAGCTTAGGTAATCAAAAAAAAATTGCTTTGTACTAAAGTACATAAAGTATGGTAAGTTCAAGGTCTTCACTTTTTAGCTCCCATGAAACGGAGTTTGAGTGGTACCGGTGTCTGTGACTCTGACTCTGTGACTCTGTGACTAAAATTTGTTCCACTGATAACTCAAGATCTACAATTTCAATTCAAATGAAATTTGGCACACAGCTAATATATGATGAGTAGATGCGCTGATTAGATTTTGGTGCAATTCCATGCGTATTAATTAGTCAATTATTGCATTAATTAGTCTCCATTCAGACACAGTATCTGTATCTTAGAAATGCCTGGACCAATCACAATCAAACTTCACACAAACATCATACATGATATTATACATATGCACGTCAATTTGTTTCACGATCTGATTCAAGATGGCTGAATGGCGGCCATTTTGTGCTAAAAATCATCAAAATTAAGCATTTCTCGGCTGTTTACAAATGGATTTTGTTCAAACTTGGTATATACATTAGACATTATAGGACCTTGATGCACATCATTTTGTTTTACAATCTGATTCAAGATGGCCGAATGGCGGCCATTTTTGTGTTAAAAAATCCTAAAAATCAAGCATTTCTCGGCTATTTACAGATGGATTTTGTTCAAACTTGGTATTGTAGAATACTTTATTTTCGCTTGGAATTTATTTTCGCTATTTTCGCTGAAGGGATGTTTCCGTGAAAATAAAATTCAGCGAATATACTTTTTTTCCTATATTTCACATTAAACTCTTACTCATCAAAAATCTGTGAAAATAAATTCCACACAAAACGCCCAAAAAACCTTTTCAGCGAAAATTAATTCCAGCGAAAATAAAGTATTTCACAGTATATACATTAGACATTATGGGACCTTGATGCAAATAATTTTGTTTTTCAGATAAGATTCAAAATGGCCGACTGGTGGCCATTTTGTTTTAATGAATGTGGTTCTCATGCCATATCTCTGACTTGCTTTCACTGATTATGTTCAAATTTTAAATATTCATTATACATCATGTCATAGATAGACAGATGTATTGGTTTGATGATCCTATTCAAAATGGCCAAATGGTGGCCATTTT